CATTGGTATAAAGTCAATAGAGTCCCACCCTAACACCTGAACCCCTGACCCAGGAGCCATAAAATTCACAATTTCTGAAAAGGCAGCCATGCTCATCATAACAATGTTCTTAGTTAGTTTTTCTATATCCAGGAGCACAGAAGAAGATTTTCAAAGAATTAATGCATTTTCACTATATGGTCTATAGAGCCCCACCCTAACACCAGAACCCCAGACCATGGGGCCTTGAAATTCATAATTTTGGAAAAGGCATTCTTGCGCATCATAACTATGTACTTGGTTAGTTTATTTAATACCCAGGAGTAGAGAAGAAGATTTTCAAAGAAATAATGCATTTTAACTAAATAATCAATAAAGCCCCGCCCTAACACCTGAACCCCTGACCCTGGGGCCATGAAATTCACAATTTCTGATGAGGCACTCTTGCTCATCATAACTATGTACTAAGTTAGTTTATTTAATTCCCAGGAGCAGAGAAGAAGATTTTCAAAGAAATAATGCATTTTCACTGTGATCTATATAGCCCGCACTAACACCTGAACCCCTGACCTTGGGGCCATGAAATTTACAATTTTGGAAAAGGCATTCTTCCTCATCATAACAATGTACTTAGTTAGTTTATTTAATACCCAGGAGAAGATAAGAAGATTTTCAAAGAAATAATGCATTTTCACTATATAATCAATAAAACCCCACCCTAACACCAGAACCCCTGACCCTGGGGCCATGAAATTCACAATTTGGAAAAGGCATTCTCATCATAACTATGTACTTAGTTCATGGGTTAAATACCCAGCAGCAGAGGAGAAGATTTTTAAAGAATTAATGCATTTTCACTATATAATCATTAGAGCCCCGTCCTAGTGCCAGAACCCCTGACCCTGGGGCCATGAATTTCACAATTTTGGTAGAGGGCTCAATGCTTATTACAATCATGCAAACAGTTTGACTGCTTGATGTCCAGGAGTAAAGAAGAAGATTTTTAAAGATTGCATTAATTTTGATGGTTATAGCCCCACCCCTCAGGCCCTTGGGGGGCAAGGGCCATGAATTTCACAACTTTTACTCCCCTTCACCCATAGATGCCATATACCAAAATTGGTTGAAATTGGTTCAGTGGTTCCAGAGAAGAAGCTAAAAATGTTCAAAAGTTTACTTCCGATTGACAACGAACGACGAACGTAGCACAGGATTCAAAACTAATGCAAACCAATATAATTATGGTCCTTTGTGAAGCATCTTAGTTTGTGTGATGTGTCTTATTAAAATTGAACCAACCTAAAGGAGGTCAGTAGCCTTTTCAAAGCATTTCACAAAAAAAATTATATTTTTTGTGACACAGTCAGTATATTCTTATCTGACTCAAACTTGATGCAAATATAAATATGCATACTTCACAGACATTTTAAGCAGTCTGTTTCATAGCCTCCCTTTTTCTTTTTGATTGAATAATCCAATATTTTATATTTTATATTGGCTACATGTATGCAATTTGATACAATATGTTTGCCAAATAAGGATACAATACAAGAGGCCAATTGGCTTATTGGGCTACATTGCTCACCTGAGTTATAGCCCTGTTGTTTTCCATCAGTAGATTTTTTAGCTCACCTGCTAAAGGCTGAAGTGAGCTTTTCTGATCAAAGAGTGTCTGGCGTCCGTCTGTCGTCTGTAAACTTGTCACATTTTTGACTTCTTCTCAAGAACCACTGGGCTAATTTCAACCAAACTTCCCACAAAGCATCCTTGGGTGAAGGGGATTTAAGTTTGTTCACAGAAAGTGCCAGGCCCTCTTTCAAAGGGATATAATTAAGAATTAAGTAATTCTTGAAAATTTGGTGGCATCTTTTCAAAATCTTCTTCTCAAGAACAACTGGGCAAGAGAAGATGAAACTTATGTGAAAGCTTCATCATACTTACTCTAAGATTCAAATTTGTTCATATCATAACCCCTGTGAGTAGGGCAGGGCCACAAGAGGGGTTGAAGTTTTACAGAGGAATATATACGAAATGTCTTTAAAAATCTTCTCAAGAACAGCAAAGCAATGTTTAGTCATAATAAAATAGAAGTATCCTTATGCTGGTGAGTTAAGGCTATAGGTATAGACATTTCTATGCAAATAAAGTAATTAAAATGCCTATAAGGACTTTATCTATTATACAGAGAAAGTTAAAACTTATTGTCTAATACATACTTGGTACCCACAACATGAGATAGCCAGTACACATTATGTCATTGTTCTTTACTACACAAAGTTATAATGGACATCAACAAAAATGCTTCGGCGCAGGGGCAATATTATTGCTCTATTTTATTTAACTGAAAAAAGGTATATTTAGAAGCAAAATATTGCAAAGATTGCTGGTATTGCTCCACAAATATCAACAGCTCAGTTGTATAATTTCTATTAGTAAAGTTTTAAGTTGAATCAGGGTAAAAATGTACAGTCTGGTATATGTTTCCTCAAATTCCGATCAAATGAGAAAATGCCGAGGATTT